TCTATGGAGTGAGCCTTTGCCCTAGTGGCTCTCTCAAGTGTTACTCGAAGACAGTCTCAAAGTTGGGCAGCCTTCTCATGCGCTAGCCTCAACTTCTCAACGGCATCCTCTCGTGCCTACCGCTTAAACACCAACTGCTCTTCAGCAACCTATATCTCCGGCTTCGCACTTTCTCATGAGTCGCAAAAAAGCTCGGCCTTATCTAATTTTTGCCACGACAGCCACCTCCCAAGACTATACGTAGCTCGGCCTATGACTCTGCTCTCGCGCAGGTCACCTACCATCCTAGAGACTATACGTAGCTCGACCTATGACTTTGCTCTCGCGCAAGTCACCTAGTAAGTCTCTGCCACGGTAGCCACCTCTTGAGACTATACGTAGCTCGGCCTCTATAACTCTGCTCTCACGCAAGTCCATCTCTCGAGACTATACGTAACTCGGCCTCTATAACTCTGCTCTCGTGCAAGTCTCTGCCACGACAACCATTTCCTGAGACTATAGGTAACTCGGCCTTAGCTCATGCGGCCCTCTCACAGGACTTCCACAGCTCTGACGTTGCTCTCATACAAACAGCCTACCTAGATTTTTTAATGTTGAGATAACATTATTTTTGACAGGCACACTGTTGAAGTTCGGGTAGTCTGCAACCGAGCCACTACTAGAAGCAGGGTGAAGCCACAGTCACCGTAAAAACTACATTGGAGCCTCAATTCCTACAGCGGTACAAAAACTAATTCTAATACACACAGAAGCCTCAATCTGGGAAGGAGTGGGGGCACCACCGGATCTCGCTCCCAGAAAACAACCTGGTCATCAGACCTTGGCCGAAAAACACTAGGGGCATCAAACCTCGCCCTCTTGGGAGAAAGAGAAGACATCACCCTAAAAGTACAAGAGTCTCCACCATCGCTCTATCAACAGGGCGTCTATAATTAGAGACAAGGTCAATTAGTGATCAAACACCAGAGAGGTGCCGCCCATAGCAAGACTCAAGGAGTCCCCCAAGCACAGCAGTGCCCAAGACCTCCTGACCAGCCTCCTAGCGTTGCCCAAGGCGTCCTGTCAACATCTTGGTGTCTCCTAATACGCTTGTCCACTTACCTGGCGCCCGTCTACCTAGCACCCACAACAGCTTCCACCGTTGTACAAAAAAAAAAAAAAAGAAGGAGAGACAGCAAGAGGTCAGCGCCCAGCCCATACCAAAAAAAAAAAAAGAGAAAGAAGAAGGGGTGGTGCCCGGTCAAACCAAGAAAAGAAAGAAAAAAAAAAAGAGAAGAAGAAAGCCAAGAGGCGGCGCCCCGGCCAAGTAAGAAAGAAAAAGAAAGATAAAAAAAAAAAGAGAAAGGGAGGCCGAAGCAGCCAAGGAGAAAAGAGATTTAAAAAAAAAAAGAGAAGAGAAGTCAACAAGGGCAGCGCCCAACCAAGCCAAGAAGGAAGAAGAAAAGAAAAAAAAGAAAAGGAAAGGAGTCGGCAAAAAAACAAAAAAATTGGAAGAGGGCCAGTGCTCAAGAGGGCGGTGCCAAAAAAAAAAAACAAATCTTTTTCGATATCAATAAATATAGCGGAGTCCTGAAGACAAATAAATGCAAGAAAATTTTGATGAAGACAAAGCACATGCCCACAACCTTTTCCTTTTATAGAAGTTAGAAGTTTGGGGCAGGGGGGATAAATGATGAGCTCGAAATCAACTAGGTCAAGCCCAATAAATTAATGAAACCCAAAGACAATATCAAGATGGCACCAAGCTAACACCAAGAAGGGACCAGCTCAATGAATTAAGAGGGGCGCACGTCACTCATCAAGGATCAAGGAGAAGCCTAAGGAGGAGCCTAAATCATCGAGGAGGAGTCAAGGGGACGCCACCCAAGGGGTCACCCAAGAGGGCGCCGCCCAAGGGATGCCCCAAGAGGGCACCGCCCAAGGGGAACACCAAGGGGCGCCACCCAGGTGTTGGTCCTCTGCCTCTCTTTCGCCATATTCTCTTTGTCACTCTGACTCAAGTCCAAGCTCAGGATCAAATCCAACCCAGTTGAGAGTCCTCCTCCAACGGAATAGGGAGACGAGGGAAAAAATATCAGGATACGCACGGAGATCAAATCCTACCATAACTATACTTACCAAAGTGGTAGAAACCCTCTCTCTCACGTTACCGCCACACCGCCTTACTAAGCCTATATAATGTAAGCTCCCTCCATAAAGAGAGGGACTTGAGAGACAACATAGAGACCTCTACACCTTGAAACTCCTACACACACTACACAAAGAGCTTTTGCCTCTTTACACACATTGTTCTCTCTCTCTCTCTCTCCCAAAGCATTGTATTTCTCCCGCAGTGTTCTTCTGGCAACATTATACATTAATAAAGATTTTCGGCCACTGCTGTCGTTTCCGAGAGTGGAGTAGGTCACCTGAACCGAACCACTATAAATTCCTGTGTTAGCTCTTGATTATCATTGATTACTTGTTAATTGCACATTAATCACACTCGTTACATATACTTGACTGTTGATCTTGCGCAAAACCAATTTGTGCATCATCAAGTTGAGTTCGAACAATTTTTAGAATTGTTTAGAAAAACAAATTTAAAAGACTCAAGCTCAAATCGTTTTAAATTTGGTTTGAGCTCGGTTCGTTTTAGTATATAGCCATCTTTGCACATGAATCCTTCATTTGGTATAATCTACCATCAAGTTTCTTTCTATTTCACTCTCTTGATTGGAATTGATCAGCAACATTTGTAGAATTCAATTTAGTCTCTTTCGTTTTCCTCTCTTCCTCTTTATCTTTTACTCTGTGCTTACTTTACATAAATGGGAGATTTCTAACTCTTTTGGTAGCTTAGAGGAAAGTGCAAGAAAAGAAATAGAAGTTGAGACTCTTCCTCCTCCTCTAATAGAGGTGGTTCACAAATTTATTTTCCATTTCCATTAGTAGTCTTCTTCTTCCGACCTTCCATTACCAAAAAAAAATTTCAGTTAGAGTAGGGTCAGGGTTTTCACGGGGCCTCCTCCACTTCAATTTCTTGGATCACTCAATTTTCTGGGGTAACCTTGAAGGTCATAGGAATTTCCTTAATCGCATCAAGATAGATTCCACTTCTAAATCGAGTAGGGCAGGTCAAGAGGCAAAGGTTTGTCCTAGATTTGCTAATGTGGATAGGTCATCAGCATGAAAAATGAATTGAAGAATTCTCCAATTATTTGGTAATTAGAGCCAGATATTCGGCTACCATTTTTTTTGGAAACATGAAATTTGCCTCAAAAAAATAATGGCCCTTCCTCAAGGAATTTTCCAAAGACTTCTCTATCTTTCATTTTGAAGATGAAAGCACCATTTCTCATATTCTTGGGTGGATGTTTTACCTTTGCTTCCTTCATATTAATATAGTACTCTATTTACACATGCCATGATGAGTTAAATTGGAAACTCTTGGTTGACGATGTTTCATCATGGATCCAAAATTCCTTTAGTGGTATGCATTAATTTGTATTGGCTATTGCCCAAATTTACACCTCATTTTATAAGGGTTTTTTTTTTTTGTAAGTCGGTAATTAATTTATCACTTAATTATGGAAAAATATTCAGTAAAAAATATTTTGTATAGAAGTACTTCTTTTTTTAGATAACAGAAATGCTCACAAGGTAACAATTATCTAGAGAAAATAGTGGATAAAGAAACTGCCTTAAATCATGCAACATTCTCATTAAATTCGGTAACTTACTATATCCTTCAAAATATGAGTTTGCAAATTTTAAAAAAAAAATCAGCTACAAAAGTCCTTCAATTTTCAACACAAAAAAAAAAGTGCACACACACAAACGTTGAAGCACCATTTAAGGCGGATCTTACTTCTGTTTCGATTTAAATTGTTGATAATGTGACATTACAGTGATACATGATAGTGTAACACATTCATTGACACTTTTAATCATTGATAAAAAAATTATGAAATTATATTAACTAATTCATATATAATCTAAATAGTATACATCACATAATGTGATATTACAAATGTGACATTCATATATATTACTTTTAATGAATGACAATGTTACATCACAGTGTAACATTACAAAGTGACACTAATTTCAGCTAATTAATGAAAAGATTTTATGCTAGAATTTACAGCTAATAGATAAGAAGAAAATTCTAGATAAAGTCAACATACAAACGTAAAAAAGAGAAATTATAGCTATATGAGAGAATTTTTAGGAAAGAAAAAAAGATGTAGTTTAAAATTCAAATTCACTGTTCCATTAAAATAGGAAACTCTTAATATAATAAACCAAATCTCATAAAAAATGGGACTATTTATCTAAACGGTCCAATAAATATGGAAAAAGGGTATTTTAGTTAAAAAAAAAATTGAAAATCTGTCAATGTGAACCTAATTTCTTTTCTACATAGCAATCTCTCCGATTCAACCTCACTCTTGCTGTTTTTCTACATTTGATACGACCATATCTTCCTATTCTCCTTCGACACTCGGGGACAGTTGAGGAACCAGTTCCCGAAGCATATAAGCAGTCCAGTCTGGACATGGCATTTTTGTCAAAGTTTCATATGTGAAAATCATGTTTATGTTTGCAATCCGAGCACCCAAGAATTTTTACAAGTTCCATATTCCATTTCGCTTGGTCGTGTTTATAATTTTGCTCTTGGGTATTTGCCCTCCACTAATGAATATAAGATTGTTAATTGGTTTGAGGAAACTGATTGCAATCATGTCGTACAGAGTGTATGTCAAATTCTTACTATTAAAGAAGGAGAATCAAGTGCTCAAGGTTCTTGGAGAGTCATCGGAAATTCCCCTCATTTCAGCCAGGGTAGTGCACCAATATGCTTGAATGGACCAATTTATTGGTTTGGAAATGAACACCGAAATAATGGAGACCATATGAACATATATGCTTTCAATTTGGCTACTGAAGAATACGAAACTGTTTTGTGTCCCAAAATTCATTCAGACCCTTACAATGACTCGTTTCACCTACTATCAATGAAAGGGTTGTTGTGTTTAGTGGACTTAAAGCAATGTGGATCACAAAGACCAAAGGAATCAAATTTGGGTGAAGGAGTACGGCTTTGATAATTTCACCAAATCCATTAGAAATCTTCAAGACATTCCTTCAGGAGATGGTCGTGATGAGGAAATACTGATTGAGCAACAGAAAGAAGGGCTCCTCCTCTACAACATTAAGACAAGGAGCATCAGAAAAATGGCAAAATTAAGCAATGAAAATACTGGGATCGAGATTGATATGGGGAGATACCTTTGGCCACATCTCTACTTTGACAGCTTAGATTCCCTGGGAGCTAGATAAATTTCTTTGCCTTGAAAAGAGTAATAAAAATCGTGTAGTGTGCAAAATGCAAGCTATTTTATCTTGTGGCCTTAGTACACATGGGTCTGGCATGGAATGCGTGAGGGGGAGATGCTCAGGAATGTTAATCTTCAGCAACTTGCATTCTTCCTCTAATGTTAATCTTGGTGTGTTGATGCTGTTATTAGGAATGAAATGTTTCCTTTAGTGAAGTAGTACTTCTTTTTGATGATTTTTTGCGAAATTCAACAACCAGAATAATCTTCTGAGACACTGTTCTTCCAAGTTCTAAGTGGAAATTTCCTTTTCAAGAATTTTTTTCCATGAAAATTGCTATAGATTCTCCCAAGAGATATACTAGCACCCCCTATGCTAATATGTGTGTTGTGGGCCTCTCCGTTCATTGCCATTTGGTTTGGAGCTATCAGAGTTGGATTTCACGAGGTTTTGGGCTACTTCATTTTCATTGATTTGATAATTCATTACCCCTTTGTTCGTACCTCCAAAAGTGCATGGTATTATATCTTTTTTCTGTCTCTCCAATTTTCTATCTACAGATTACCCAACAAGGAGAAACATAAAAAAAAATGTTGTGTTTTGATGGTGTATTTCAACGTGATGCAATTTTGTGATGACGAGTTAATGAAAGAAACAATATTGGAATTATTGGAATCTAAGTTACTAGATTCGCGGGAATGATATTGAGAATTGTTGGGGAGTTAGGGAATTAACACAGTAGAAATATAGTGGTTCACCAGCTCGGGCGTTCGGCTAATCCACTCTTCAATAGAGATTATTGCTCTTTCCTTCACTATTCACTATACCAAAAGGTTTATAGAATGTAAGATGTGATATTAGGGTTCTGCCCCTCTGTCGGGGGTGTTACATAGTATTTATAAGGGTATCCCTTAATTTATGGGATCTGATCCGTGATTCTCGTCATCTATGCGAAAAATTCTCCTTGATCTTAGGAGAGTATCTTGGTTGGTTGAGAATTTTGTGCCTTAAGTGTTACTTCAAACCGCTTGTCGAGTTCTTTGTAGTATCCAATTGCTTCCTCATTGCTTCAGCTTATTATCTCGCTTGAGGGGAGCTCTAGTTCTGATTTTCTGAGCTTTGTATAGCTCTGACTTTCTGAGCTCAACATACCTGACCTCCATGTTTGACCTCCGTTTTCGAGCTCCTGCTCGGGAATCATTCTGAGTATTATCATGTTTTATGTTTTATACTAAAACTCAAGGTGTCAGCACTTCAAATTGTTTGCTTAAAGATGGATGTTTCACCTACAAATATAAACACCAGTCATTCTTCTCGTATCCTTAGAAATCAGACCTAAAATTCGGGTGAATCGTTCTTGCTAACCCAACTGATATGAAAATGGGAAGGATATGCTTCTTTGAGATGAAAGAAATTTGAAGTTATGATTTTATATGAAATATTACATTTATGAGATGTGCAATTCTTTAATTTCAATTATAAAGCTGTAAGCAAATGAATAACCTCAGTAATACTTTTGTCATATCTTAGAATCACTAACTATGTCACCATAGTTATGTGAATTATGAATAAGATGTTTAAGGATATTGTTTCTTTCATGGCATGATCTTGAAACAGAGTTTATTGATGTCTCAACTCATTTATTATGAAGCATGTTTGGTTTTCAAGTTAATTGTCGCATTTCCATTCTTGTATTCTCCATAAGAACTCTCTTTTTCATTATTTTTATTCTTGGAAGAACTGTCATAGAATTTTTTTTTTTCTTTGAAAAGATTGGTAGCATGAATTTAAGTGTTGGTAATTGTTTTTGATTATCTTCTAGGTGGTATTTTTTGAATACATAACTCAAATGGAAAGAGCTAAAACAAAACAAAATCCTATACCTATTATTATGTTGTCATGATAAAGCCTTCACTCCTTCAGGATAAAAATCGTGTAGTGTGCAAAATGCAAGCTGTTTTTAAAAACGTCATTACAAATGACGTTAAATATCTCAGTCCCTTTTACTTCTCAGTTACCCACATCCAAAAATCCCCTTTCCCAATCAACCCAAATATCTCAGTCACTCTCTCCACTCCAACCGACTAATTCCACTCAGGTGTAGGTAGGTAACTCCGACGAAGAAGATCACTTACTCGACGTCTTGTTGTAGCGAAGGGTTTCACAAAAACGAAGATCCCAAATCCCCGTTACCTAAATCTGAAATCCCCTTTCCCAATCAACCCAAATCTCTCAATTACTCTCTCCACTCGTCCGACGAAGTCCACTCAGGTGCAGGTAGCTAACTCTGACGAAGGCCACTCCTTTGGTGAAGATCACTGCTCCACGAACTCATTTAAAAAATTCTCTATCTTCTGCTTCTTCTTCTTCTTGTTCAAGTACATGTTATTGAAACTTTCCCTCTTAATGGACTATTATAGTTTTGTAGTGTAATTTTGAAGGTCAGATGTCATCTTATTTGGAGGTAGTTCACAATGAAATCTAAGGGATCTATGCACCAAAGGTAATCAGAAGGTGAATCCCCAATAAGTCCTCCCTGTTCCCCAAGAATTAGATGATCACTAAAATTCCTTCTTACGACTTCCAGAATAGCAGCCTCACTTATTTTATCTGTTCTGCAAATAGGTCTTGATGAGCCCGAATTTTACTGGGCTAGGCCCAATTCAAATAAACTGAGGAAGCCCAAACAGAGCAGGGTCAACCCATTAGAAATGAAGGCATCAAGAGTTCAACACCCGAAGCCTCAAGGCCAATGCCCAAAGCAGGAAGGCATGGCAGCCCCTTTGGGCGCCGCCTAGGCAGGCCCCTTGGGCGCCTCCTCCTCTTTGCTCCTCTTGGCTTCGGTGCTCCAATACAATTTGAGCCATACCAACTCGAAGCCTAGGCTCAGGGTCAAGTCCAAGATTAAGATCAATCCAGTATCCTTCTCCGAGTGAATAGGAGCACGAGGGAAAGAATCACTGGATGGAGATGGAGTCCTACTAAAACGGAACTTACCAAAGTGATAGAGACCTCCTTTGTCACGTCACCGCCTCACCGTCTTTCCCTAACTATATAATGTACGCCCTCTCAACATTAAGGAGACGCTTCTAATGCGTCTAAAGCCTCTACTCATCTCCTCACACACACTGTTCTCTCTCTCTCTCCAAAGCACTATAATACACCGGAGTTACATTTTCGGTTATATTATTCATCAATAAAATACCCCAGGCCACTGTTGCCATTCCCGAGAGTGGAGTAAGTCACCCAGACTGAACCACTATAAATCTCTGTGTCTATCTTATTTTTTGCTTTAACCCATAACTGCCATTGATTGCTTGTTAACCACATATTAATTACACCCTTACACATTCTTGATTGATGATCTTGCACGAAATTAATTTGTGCATCATCAGTTTGGCACTGTCTGTGAGAAACGATTAATTTCCTACTCTCATTAAATGCATGTCAATCACTACCCAATCAATGAGCCAACAGCCGAGAGACAACAACCCGACCCACCAGGAGGAGCCTCTGCCTCCCCTTGCACCTGTAGAACCATCTGTTACTACTACTCCCGCCGCTGGACAGCAGCAACAACTCCTCCAGAATATGCAGCTGCTGGTGAGCCAGAATCAGCAGATCATCCAACTCATGCTCTCCCAAGGAGGCGTCGCCCCTCTCCTTGCAGGAGGAGTCTCACTCCCCCCACCAGGAGAGGGGCAACTGCCTATCCTTTCTGGGCGCCAGGTAGCCCCACACCATGGGGCCCCTCGCTAGAACAATCCAGGACCATGCCAGGGTGCCCCTCACCCAGTCCCTCCTTAGTGCGCAAAGAGTTCACGAGTGCCCCATCCTCATGAACCTGTGCAGGAGAACGAAGATAGAGAAAGTCAATACGGAGCAGGAGAACAAAGATAGAGAAAATCAATACGGAGACCATGAAAGCCAATACCACCACTCAATTGAGGATGTCCCTAACCAGTGGGACGAGAAGATCAGAGAGGTACAAAACCAACTCGGCGATGCCTTAAATGCCATCAAGGCACAGACGCTTGAAATTGTGGACTACTTGATAAGGCGTACCGATACCCCTTTCATTGCTAATATCGTTAACTACCCTCTACTCTCGAAGTTCAAAATGCCCATCCTCGAGATCTTCGTTGGCACCAAGGACCCCCTAGACCACCTGGATACCTACAAATCCCTCATGCAACTCCATAATGTGCCTAAGGAGATACTGTGTAGAGTCTTTCCTACCACTTTAAAGAGGTTTGCTCTCCATTGGTTCTCTAAGCTAAGACCCTCCTTCATCCGCTCCTTCGCCGAGCTCATCAGGTCCTTCGTCTCCCACTTCATTGGGAGACGCCGACATTAGAAACCAGTGATCCACCTACTCATTATCAAGCAGGATAGGGATGAAAGCCTCAGAGACTACCTTGCCCGTTTTAATGAATAGATCCTCCAAGTGGAGGAGCCAGATGATAAGGTGGCTCTGACTGCCTTTATTACTGGCCTTCGCACCTCCAGCTTCATGTTCTCAGTCCTCAAGAAGCCACCCTCCAGCATGCCGAAGCTATTGTCTAGGGCACAAAAGTATATGAATGTTGAGGACATCACCAAGCCTCGTCGGGGTGAGTCCTCTCGAGGAGGGGAGAAAAGGAAAGGCGATCGAGAAGACAAAAGAGAGACCGAGAACAAGAGAAAGAAAGTTGAGAGAGTCTCCGTGAAAGACTGCCTCGGACCATTGCCACACAGAGACTGACAGACATTCACTCCACTCAATGCCTCAGTGGAGCACATTCTTTTCTAGATTCAAGGCGACCCCGCAATCCGTTGGCATGGGAAGATGAAGTCTGACCCGAAGTGTCGAAATCCCAATAAGTACTGTCGCTTCCACCACGACCATGGACATGACACAAATGACTGTTTCCAGTTAAAGAAGCATATCGAGGAGCTTATTCAGTGGGGTCAGCTTAGACAATATGTGGTTGGTCGAGGACCAGCTCCTCCGCATGAAGAAC